AAAGTTAAGACTGACAGTAGCCAACAAGAATAAGGAGTAATTGGAACTCTCGTAGATTACTGTGTAAAATGGTACGACCACTTTGGAATACTGTTTGGCTGTTTCTTATAAAGGTAAACATACAGGTACCATACGATCTAACAATCTAGTCCTAGATATTTATCCAAGAGAAAGAAATACATATGCCCACAAAAAGACACGTACCTGAATGTTTATCTGGAATAGCCGCCAACTGGAAACAATCCAAATGTCTATCAACTGGTGAATGAACAAACATTGTGGTACATCCATACAATGGAATACTACTCAGTGGTGAAAAGGAATGTGCTACAGATATAGGCAACAACATGGATGAATCTCACAAGCATTATTTGGAGCAAACGAGTTCAGACACAAAAGGCTATGTACCATGTGATTCTGTTATACGAACTCTACAATGGGCAAAACTAACCTATAGTGACAGAAAGCAGGGGCTGGTAGGGGAGGGTTGACTGCAGAGGAGCACAGGGATCCTTTGGGACAATGGAAATGTTCTGTATTGTAATGTAGTTGTAGCTACACAGGGGTGTGTGTCTGTTAAAACCCAAACTGTGCACTTACAATGCATGCATTCTACTGTATGTAACGTTGATTTGGAAAAAAATAAAATAAAGTTTGTTTTGCTTGTGCACAATGATGACACTTCCACAACTCAAGAAGATGGTTGGAAGCCCAGCAACTAGCAAGAGGGAGGTTACACTGAGCACTCAGTCTGTGTTAGGCACCTAATCAGGCCCTTTCATTCATTGTCTCAATTAAGCCTCATGCCAGCCTTTAGGGTGGAAATTATCATCCCCCAAAGCTCAGCAAGGTGAAGACATTTGCCCAAAGTCACACAGCTAGCAAGAGGTGAGGCCAAGATTCAAACTCAGGTCTAGCTGGCTCAAAAGCGTGTGCTTTTGTAAACTTCTCTGCACCATCCCTAGATAGGAAAGAAACCAACCAGCGCAGAGGTCGCACATTTAATAAGCAGCATCATAGTCAGCTATGACTTAAAAGTAGCATGTACAGGAACTATTTCCAGCTACAAAGCCCTTGGAATGACTTAACGCCTGGACTGGCTGACAAGGTCTGTCGTGCGCCCAGCTCATCACATAATACAGTGAGTGTTCATTTATAAAACATCACGAAAGTTAATATTTGCAGAATTCCCAAGCCGTCCAAGCCAGAACATGAGCTCTTGAAGAGTCCTAGACCTCTAAGCCAGGACTAGCCTGTTAGGGAACATTAGGACCCCCAGGTGCTAAAGGCCCTGGAGGCAGTGACTTGACTGTGGGCAACACAGAGTGGTCCAGAGCCAGAACAAACCTGGGCCCCTGACCTCTGGTCCACCTCTCATCCCGCTGTCATCCCGCTGTCCTCTGGGAGCCCATCTGACACCACAGCAGGTCTCAACATCCCACTGCTCTCCATCCCACTGCTGAGGACCGAGGAGAATGGTGTGGCCTCATCCATCCCACTACAGCCAAGAGGGTCTGATAGAGTTAACCCAGCAGGGGATGGGGCTACCCTCCACCCACACCCCGCACCCCCGTGGGGACGACACAGCATTAGCTCTGGAGGCTCTCCTCTGCAGGGCAAGGAGCCAGCCTGGAGGCAGGCCCTGGTTTCTATCCTGCCTCTCCCACTAACTTGCTGTATGACATACGGTGAGTCACTGAACATTTCTGACCCTCGGTTTCCTTTTGGGAACTATTTACACCCATCCTATAGACCTCAAGAATGATCTGAGTGGGGCCGGCCTGGTGGAGCAGTGGTTAGGTTCACACATTCCACTTTGGCGGCCTGGGGTTCGCCGGGGTGGGATCCCGGGTGCAGACATGGCACTGCTTGGCAAGCGATGCTGTGGCAGGCATCCCACATATAAAGTAGAGGAAGATGGGGATGAATGTTAGCTCAGGGCCAATCTTCCTCAGCAAAAAGAGGAGGATTGGCAGCAGATGTTAGCTCAGGGCTAATCTTCCTCAAAAAAAAAAAAAAAGTGATCTGAGGATCAGATGAGAGAGGGCCATACTGCAATACTAATTATTACGTTAATATCACTGTCAACAGAATGAGGCGCTAGGCTCATGCAAAAGCACCAGAAGCAGCTGTGCTCACTGTCGTTTGGGGATGATGGTTGCTTCCTCTGAAAAATGGGAATACATGACCTGCTCGAAGCAGGGAGTTGGACCAGAGATCTATCAGGGGTCACTTCCAACTCTTAAGTCTATGATTCTATGATTTCAAAGACCCCAAGAAGATTGGCCTCACCTGCCCTCCTGATGTTCGAATTTTCTTTTATCAGGATGCCAAAACACTTTATCTTATAATAGAAATAAGATTTCAAATGCAAATGACCTGGAGAAAGGAAGAGCACATTGCCTCACATTCTCACTACAGCATGTATGACTGATAGAGATTTCTTCCAGAGAGCAAATTCTGATAGGGAGCTGGAAAACCTGGCCTGACTGAGTCACAGCAGGGTATCCTCAGTGAGAACTCAGTGAGACAGGCTGAATCCCGTCTGTTCTCTGAGACCAAACCCATGACAGCGCAAGGCCCCAATTTTAGCTTATTCTCTGCTTTACCAACTGGCATGGTGGTGGCCAGCACTTCCCAGCTGGGCTCATGACCAAACTTAGGTGACCCGATACACGGCTCCAATACTCAGCCCTACCCCAGGCCTCATCCACCATCACCCTCTCATTTCCAAGGCTGCCCTGTTTTCACAGGCCTCCAGTTCTAATCCTGGGCACCCCTACAAACTCCTTTCCCTTCCAACCACATGAGCCAGGGTGGTCCAGGCCTCCTGGAGCCCCTCTCTTCCCACCCCACCTAGCCCCTGCTCCATCCTCAACCCCCAAACCCAAGCAAACAAAAGAATTGTGGAAATGAGCTGGTGTCCAAGATGATGCAGGTGCCATTTGTCCTCCTACTCTCCATTCCGGCTCAGAAACCCCTGTCAGGGCTGGGACATCAAGATACTGCACCTGGTCTCCTTAATCATCATCATCATCATCACTAGCATTAGTTGAGCATTGACTATGAGCTACACCCTGTTCTAAGAGCTTTACAATAACTAACTCACATAACCCTCATATGAAATAAGCACTATTAGCCTCATTTTACAAATGAGAAACCGAGGCACAGAGAGGTGAAGTGACCTGGCCAAGAGCACACAGCTAGCAAGTGGCAGGGTGGGGATCCACCTGATAGTCTGTGCCTAACCCTTATAGCCTCTCTGTGGAGGCAGCAGCAGTGCCTTCAAGCCTGAAATCATCAGGAAACAGACATGCGTGTGCCCTGCTCTGGGAGGGCATCCAGAGGTTCAGTCGCATAAAGTACAGCCCCTTCTGTGTACAAAAGGGGTGACTGAGGCCCAGAGAGGGAAGGTCTTCCCAGGTCACCAGCAAGCTGAGCTCAGAGCTAGGGTCTGGGATGACTGCCTCCCCCCATATATTTCAGGAGAGGCCATTGCCCACAGGCAAGGCATGCTTTAACCAGGGTCATGACCTGGAATTAGCCCACAGCCCTTACTCCAGCCTGTGCGGGACCTCAGACCCTGACATGCCCTCCCTGGCAGGTCCTGAAGAGCAGTCTCTGGCAGGTCACCTGCTTGCAGTTTTGTTTTGGTTTTTGTCTTTGCTGTAGTCAGACTATGAACCTCACCCTGATTTAGGGTGAATCTCACAAAGCGGTGCGCTTTACAGTAACAGACTGCATATTGGGAGCAGGCTTTGGGTGGAGGTCAGGAAATTGCCTTCGCACCCACGACCCCATCACCCACCCCAAGTCCCTGCAGTTCAGGGTCAGAGAGGGAGGAACAATCGCCCTGTAACTTGCGCTCCAAACTCTCCCCGCTCCCACCCCTACTCTCTCCGCAGATGTGACCCCAGCTCTGCTCCTCCTTTCCCAATCACGTACACCGCCTCCCCTCCCGCTCTCTTCGTCATTCTGAGAGTTCACCCGACGCCAGGTCTGAGACGTGGTCGGGGTTTCACCAGCGGACGGTTCCCTGCCGCGTCTCCAGCGGACCCTCCCCACGGTCCGCAGGTTCCTCCATTCCCCTTGGATAGGCGCGATCCCCTCCCCGGGCCTCAGTAACAACCGCTTCCACCATCCACCCAGCCCTCCGGGTCTCCGCTCCGCCCGGCGAAGGCAGAGCGTGGGGAGGGAGCTCGAGGCAAGGACTGTGGCTGGACAGAGCCCAGGAGAGGGGCAGACGGGCACTGAGCGAGGATGCGGAGAGGGCATCAGAGCGCGGGAGGGACACCTGGACAGGCAGGGGTAGTGAGAGCCCGAGCGGACGGGGTCAGGGTCTAAGACGCATGTAGAGTCCGGGAGCTTGGGCTGGGAGGCGAGACCCGCGGAGCGAGCGGGATGAGGTCTCCGACACCGCGGGGTGAGAAGGGCGGCGGCGGAGGGGACCCGACATTCGGACGCTAGAAGATGCGATCGGGGCCAGGGAAGCCAGAGACGGAGCTCGGGGCGCGAAGTCGGACCGCGAGGTGGGGCCGGGCGCCCAGGGACTAAGGTCTGAGTTCGAGATCCCGCGGGGTTGGGGCCAGCGGGAGGGAAAAGTTGGCCCTGCTGCGGCCGGAGGAGGGGGACGCAGGCTGCGGGGGCTCGGCCGGGGGCGCGGCGGGCACTGACCCGAAGTAGGCGGCGGCGGCGGCGGCGGGCAGCGCCAGCAGGCAGAGCGCGGCCAGGGCCAGCGCGGGCGGGGGGCGCATGGTGCCGGCGGCGCGGCGCCCTCTCGCATCTCCTTGCGCCGCTCAGCGCTCGCAGCGCCGCCACCAGCCGCCCGCGGGGCTTTAAACCCGGGCGGGGCGGAGCGCGCTCGGGGGGAGCGAGCGGCGCTGACGGCACCCCCGGGCGGCGAGCCCCCCGCCCCATTGGCCCCGCCGGCCTCGCCCCGCCCCGTTGCGGGTGGGGCCACCGCCCCGGGCCCGCCCCCGCCCCGCCCCCATCTCCCCCTCCCAACCGCTCCAGGTGAGAGCTCACCTGACGCCGCGCCTGCCTGGGGACGCGGCGGCGGAACGTGAAGCCCCCCGGGCCTGGAGAGGCTGGGATGGGGTCCGAGGTGGGGACGAAGGAGTTTGTGCTTCTCCCGGGCGGGGGGAAGGGACGCACAGGATTCTCTCCCCGGAGGTACAAGGGGTGGGGGGCGTAGAAGGAGGGCGGCGCCTGGAGTCTGTGGAGAAGCCGCGCGGGGTCCGCTCCGCTGCCCGGCGGTCCCGGTCTCTGCCCCGGTCCCGGGACTCTTTGAGGGCGGGGCCGGGTCCTGACGCAGAGCCGCTCTCCCGGAGCGGGAGATCCACGTCTATTGGCTGGGGGACCCTGCTGCCCGGCAAAAAGGGGTCCCTTAGAGCGGAGGAGGGAAAGAGAACCCGCTTTCCCAACGCGAGACTGTGTCCAGGGCGAGATGCAAAGCGTGCCCTCGGTGGGCGTTTGACAAAGCGCTGCTGACGTTCCTGGGACAAAAATCCAGATTCTCTGGTCAGCGGGGCAGGTCGAGTGCGGTGGGGGTGGGAGGCCAGGGAGGAACCTACTTTCCACAGTGTGCCAGAAAGTCTGTCAGACCGGATGGGTGTCTCTCTCTCTGGCTTATTCTTTTTAAAAGTTTACCCCCAATTCCTGCGGCAAAGGTGCAGTGATCAAGGCAGTGGGAGGCACCAGTCAGGGAGCGAGGCATACAGCAAATGACCCAAACGAAATTAAAAATGTTTTTGAGAGTCCGGAACACTGGGTCAAATCAAGCAAAACAAAATATAGCTTGCACTGAATGTCAAGATCTGCATGTAAGTTTCCCAAAAAAATCAGCCATGCGTGCAGAACGTCAGGTGACAGCAACCTTGGCCTTGTGGGTGGACGCCAGCTTGACGAGGGGCTGGGAGACCGGCCGGGAGATGGGAGCTGCGATGTTAGGTGACGTTAGTAAAGGAAGCCCACCTCCCCCACGCCCCACCCCCGGCTGTAGTGAGCCTCGCTGAGCTCAGTCTCCTTGTCAAATGAGTGGAGTGATTAGATGATCCATGATCTTTCACGACTCTGTCAGTCTATCAAATCTCATGATTCTATTTACTGAGGCACACAACCCAGTGTGGTGGGCAGACAGCTGGCATCAAATCATGTAAATTATGAACCCCAAATATGAAGTGGAGGTGATGACAAATATCTCCCAGGATTTTCGTACAGATAGGAGTGGTGCCAAAGGCCCAGCAGGTGCTGGCCCTCAACGTTGGGTTGTTATAACTGCAGGCAGGACCAGTTGTGTGCTGGTAAGTGATTACGTGCTTTCAGGGGGTGGATGGGTATCTGATTTGTATCGTTTGCTGATTTCCGTGCTGTAAATATTCCCACCATGGCTGATTCCAAGCTACATAGAGTGTGGCGTCATCCTGCTCTCCAGAGCTAGGGAGGGATTTGCACAGTGGGCCCTGCAAGCCAGTCTGAGCGGTTCCAGCACACCACTGGTGAGACCCTGAACGAGGCTCAGTGAGGCCCCGTAGGAGGGGCCAAGCTGGACCAGTGTGAGTCAGACAGGAGAAAGAGTCCCCACCAAGCCCCAGCCGTGCGCAAGGCACCCGAGTGCGGGCCGGTGAGGAGGGAGCACGTCCAGGTCCAGCTTGAGCTACCCCAGCTGCCCCTCCTGTCCGAAAGCACGCGCCGTATACACAAGCACGCACAAGCATGCACCCGCCTGGAAAGGTGGGGGAAGAGGGCAGAGCACATTCTCCCCAAGTGATGCATTTTCAACATTTCATAAAAGTTAGATGTTGACATCTGATGGCTAAGGATGTGATGTAAAGAAATTGGAGGAAGCACCAAAGATTCGATGGAAATATCTGTGGCTGGATAGTAAGATACACAGAAAATATCCAGATGGATGTTTTTGAACCCCCGCTAGCCAATGGCACGGATGCCACCCTCGGGCTCCTTCCTCCTGATGTTAGAACTGTGCAGGTCTCTGCCTGCTGGGCTGACCCCTAGCTTGCCCATGAAGGCTCAGAGTTCTGCTTCTGTCTTTCTGGTCAACAGGGCATCGCAGAACTGCCCAGGTGGCAGCACCTGTTACTGATAATAATTCCAACAGCGGCTCCCGTGTACCAAGCTCTACGTGTGTGCCAGGCTCGGCACATAGCTTCACTGAAGCCTCGAGCCCCCTGTGAGGTTGGGGCAATCGTTATCCCCATTGCACAGGTGAGGAAACTGAGGCTCAGAGAGCTTAAGCAGCTGGTGCCTGTGACCCAGCTCTAAGTAGTGGAAGCAGGAGGTGAGCCCAGCTCCAGGGGAACTGTCACACTGGTTGTGGCTCCCGATTGGCTGTGTGACTGAGGGCTGCCCAGGCCCAGTGAGACTCACGGTGGCCTTTGCATCATTCATTCCCACGAAGCATCGGGTACCTTCTGAGTGCTGGTCCTCAAGGTCTGGAGGGGGAGAGAGTGGGGAAAATAGCTCATCTCCACAGCTCTGGGCTTGTGGGATCCCTGAGGAAAGACATGAGGGGCGGCCCTTGGGACTTACAGCCTTGTGCCATAAATGGCTTGTTACTCCCACCTCCCCCTCTGCCCCGTGAGCTCCTCGAGGGCACACCTGCATTTTATTTCTCCCTGTGTCCCCGGAGCCTGGCACAGGGCCCAGCATAGGGTAGATGCTCAGGACATAAGTGTTGTTGCCAGCTTGTAACTTTGGTCTGTGCCTTTTTCTGGGGTTGCAGTGATGGAAAGTGTCCTACTGACACGATGCATGCTCACAGCAGCACCCCTTCCCAGGCTCAGATGCATGCTCCGTGACACACATGCATACACGCTCACACAAACTTTGTCTCTATGCAACATGAGTCCAGGCATTCAGTGACACACAGGCTCCCCCACACCTCCCCCATGGGTGTCTAAATTCCTAGGCAGACCCACAGCTGCTCCTGGACCCACACGTTCACACAGGTATGCAAGAGAAGCATTCTTAGACAGCCACATGCAGCTACCTGTCTCCACCGACCAGCCCAAGGCAGCTACAGCTCGGGGCTGGGCTCTCTCCCCCTGCATCACACACGCACACACACACACAAACGTGTGGCTGAAAGGCTTGCGATGGATGGCTGCATAGAATCCAGCTCTAGGGTGCCTCCAGACCTTTCCCTCCTCCCCTCCAGGAACCATCCATCTTTGTCTGGCCCCAGGTCCCTCATAACTCCAAACCCCAGCCAAGCCCAGGCCCCAGGCAGATCCCAGCAATCACGCAATCCCCCAAACTCACCACCAGGCCATGAGCTAGCAAAAAAGAGGAATTCCAGCATGCTAGCTCCCTCTAATCACCTTCACGCCACACTGGAAATGGACTCGACCTGACAGGAAGTGGGGCAGGCAATGCCTGAGCAGCTTTGAGTGAAGGCACCAGTGCCCAGGCAGGGTCTGAGGCACAGCTGCTCAGAAGAGCTGGTCCCAGGGAGGCCCCAAAAGGACTGGGGTGGGTGGGCTCACCTGTCCTTCTGCCTGTCCTTACCCTGCTCCCTGTGACCCGGCCTTTTTTGCTGTGGCCTCATTATGACTACTTCTGTTTTTACCAATCCCGTCCGTCCTACATGTACACATTTGGACTGGACTTGACTCTCACTGGCATTATTTGTCTCTGGGATGCTGAGATGTGGCACGTTGGGCATTACTGTCCCCACTAGACAGATAGGACACTAAAGTCCAGAAAGGTGAGTAACTTTCTGGATGTCATGCAACTCACTGGCACTTGGTGACTGGGGACCTGAGTTTCCAGAACATCAGACTGAAATAGGACTGAAACTAGGTGGGAAAAGTGGGCTACTGGATCCCACTTGCAAGAGACTCAAGGCTATGCTTGAAAACAACAAGAAAAGACAGTGGAGAAAGACACCAGAATGTTAAAAAAAAAAAACGTGGGTGCTTTGGAGATTGAAAATGTGGGCAAAAAATGTTTTTATCCTCTTTGTATTTTCCAAGTTTTCTATTACAAGCATGTTTAACATTTATAATGGAAAGAAAATTCCTTAAAGGGGGGAAGGGACAGACACACAAGAATAAATCACTAATGGTAGAACTTCAAGCATTGGCCGGGAAGATATTCGGGGGTGGGGGGATGTTTCCTGCCCTGGTGCACTACCCCTCCAGGAAGCCCGCCTTGACTGACCACTCCCGGCTCTGCTCACTCACCACTTTGCCCCTAAAGACTTTATTGGCACAGCTTAATTTTATGCTAGTGACTATGTTCATGGACACTGTCCTTGAGTTTGGGGGTGTCAAACACCCCTACTATGTATACACTACAGATTCCTCAAGGACTTAGACTCTGTCCCCTGTTCCTTTTATACCTCACATCTTGTCCCCTAGTGGTACCGAGCTTCAGCCCACAGTAAAGGAATCATTAAATATCTGAATTAATGAACAAATAAACACTGGAGCCTAGACAGGTCAGACCTGACGTACTGATGGCTCCAAACCCTGCCCTTGATTTTATAGTCTACATGAGAGACAAGACGTTGAGCCTAGCATCGTGAGTTGCACCTAGCTGAGTCCAACCAGGATGGCTGGAACTGGGAAGAGGGTTCTGAGGGGCCCAGTTCTGTCTAGTAATCGTATATAGGTAGGCAGGTAGGTGGGTCGGTAGGTAGACAGCAACCTGGATGGACAATCTCAATTTCTAACAGCCTACTCCATTGTCCCCATACGTCAACTCATAAATGTCAGTTGACATATATGTCCGTGCTCTGTCTGGGCACTGGGCTCACCATGATTATACCCGCCCCCGGGGTTCACATGTCCAGAAGCCTAAGACACAGAGAGGCTGGGTGAGCAGTGCTGGGCAGCGTGCGTTCTGTCCTCGGCTATTGTGATCCCCCCATGGCCTTCCCACAGGCAAAGCGCCAAGGAAAGGTTCGACTTTGGGGTGCTTTACGATAGGATGGTGTTCCACACAAGGCATGGCTCCTAATACAGCTCCAAAGAAAGAAAAATGGAAGAAGGAAAGGAAGGAGAAAGGCAAGAAAGACAGCTTTCTTAAGTAATCGAGATGAAAAAAAATAATGCCAGAATTTACTATAAATAACATTCTAAAGATTCGACTCTGAATAGAGGCATTCTCATCATTGTCCTCTGCGTTTGCTTTCATCTGAGCACCTTCCCGCCCCCTGAAAGGGAAAAGAGAGACAAGGGGGATCCCATCGCGAAGTTCCCAGTGCAGCTGGGCCTGGAGGAACGCGATCCCTTGCACGGTTTTAGGAGGTAGCCCGCACAGGTCACATTTTCACAACTACAGGGACTAATAAGTATGCAGGGAGTGCCTGTTAACAAAGCCTTGACTAGTAGACAGTTGGACGACAGCATGTTTTTCTGAACTCACTGTGGGACTCCAGTGGCCCGGCCAGAGGTCTTTATTTAAACTGGGGAGAGGAGAGACTCAGACCTTGGTTTGTTTCTGGGAAACAGTAAGCTTAGGCTTAACTCTTAAAAAAAAAAAGTGACTAACTCCATTTTACCGCAAAATCTTCATTTCATCTAAAGTATGATTGTATACTATTCAATTTAACAAACTTTGATGGGGAATCTAGTGCTAAGCCCAGGGAGGAAGAGACTCTTAAGCCAGGTCCTGTCCTTGCGGAGCACACAGTTTGTTGGGAAAGACATGTAAATAAATGCATACAGCATTTCGACATTTCTATGTAAGTGTAAGCTAGTTATTGGGTACTAGCTATGTGCCAAGCATTGTTCTAAGTCCTATAAGAATATTAACTCATCTGGTCCATAATATTTTGCAGATGAAGAAACTGAGGCACAGAGAGGTTAAGTAACCGGTCAGCTAGTAAGCTTGGAGGTGGGGTTGGAACCCAGGGAGCTAGCACCAGAGGCCATGTGTTTCATCACTGCACTGCAGTAAAGAGAAGAAAGTACCAAATGAGAGGGGAACCCAGGTGAGGGGACAGTCCATTCATTGTCCCAGAGAAGGGGTGTCCAGGGCATTTCTGAGATGTGTTGATACTTGAGCTGGATCTTGCAGTCACTTCTCGGTCCATCTTTCTTCACTTTACCAAATGGCACAGTCCATCCTAATTTGCCTCATAAATGTTTGAGGAGGAATCAAGTTTTGCCACTTGTTCACTATAATTCTGAGGGATGGCCCTACCAGAGCATCCCTTTGCTATATTGAGTTCACCCTTGGAGTGACGTAGATTGAAAGGGTGTTGGGGACTTTAGAATAGAAAATGCCTTTGAGTCTTGCTGAACCTTACTGCCCTGTGTTATTGATCTGGAATCTCATTTTCACCCTCCAGGTCCAGTGTCAAGGTTTACCGCAGTCTCTCCCTCTTGGCTTCTATCACCGGGTTGTGCCAACCTTCCTCTTCTTGACCAGGCATTCAGCGTGTTATGGCCTGGGTGTAATACCACAGGTCTCCAATAGGGGTCGCTGACTACAACAGGATGGGACACCTGTAGTTGAACGGAGAGAACCCTGGGTCCTAACTTAACCTTGTCCTTGGCTTCCTCTATGACCTCGGTTTCCTCATCCATAAAGTGGATATAACAGTCCCTAGCTGCCTTCCTCACAGAACAGTGGTGAGAAATGTGAGGATGAAAGTGAACACCTTCCATTCAGAAGAGGCAGCTTCCATCCAGATGTTTTCAAAAAACCAGTCATCCCATAATTACTTTTTGAGCGTCACTCACCGTGCCAGGTGCCATATGGAATCCAGAAATTACTTCTACCTTCGCATAAAAGAACTTTGAATAAAAGTTTAAAGCAAACTGTAACCCTGACAGTCGGGGGAGAGGCTCGAGCGCTCCCTGGTGGGTGGAAACAGCAGCATCCCCTGCCCCGGGAAAGATGAGGGGATGTGAAGCAGCAGGACGTCTACTTCAGCCTGTGGCTGGAAGTCTCTCGCATCCAGTAACTCATCTCTTCCTCTCACAACCCGGTTTGCGCATGGGGAAACCGAGGCACAGCGAAGCGAAGTGACCTGCCCGAGAACCTGGATTCCAGGAACCTCCCAGCCAGCTAATCCCAGAACATGGAGTGGAAAGGGACAGCACGGGAAGACAAGTGACCCGAGCGGGCAGGGAGGGACGGAGAAGGGAGGACCTTCCTGTCCTGACACCCTGGCCAGGCAGACGGAGCTGAGGGCGGCCGCGGCGGCCAGCCTTCTGCAGGAGCGCCCCCTGCTGGTGACCGGTGCTGCCGCTTGTGGCGGCCGCGGGTGAAGGAGGATGCTTAGCTCTGGGGGGGCTGTTCCCTAAGAGACAGGAGACCCCCACCAGAGCAGAGCAGGAAGGGCCCAGAGGCGTCGCCCCAACCTCTTCACTTTGCACATGGCAAACGCGAAGCTCAGAGGAGGAAGTGACTCGCTCAAGGGCTCTCAGAGAGCCGACGGGATGCAGGTCTCCCAGTCGTCCTTCCTCATACTGCAGAATTCTCCATCTCCCGTCCCCTCCTGCCCCGCATTCCTGAGCCCGGAGGGCCCCTTCTTCCCCTCCCGGCGCCCAGCCAGTCCCCATTCCTCCTCTCCTCTCCAGCCCCTGCCCGCCCCACAAGCCCGTCCCCTCCAGGAACCCTCCCACACTCAGCCCCAGAGCTCTCCCTTCCCCAAGCCCTATTGCCTCCAACGGCCGGGAGTTTAAATGGCTTTCAATTCCGGGACACAGCTTTGTCAGCCTGTCGGCACGATCTTGGGGACCGTAGATGAGGCTTCTTTCTTTCGGATTCTCCCCTCACCTGCCTAGCCCCTCCTCACCCAGAGGTGCCTGGTACCGGGCGAGCTCTCCTCTCACTCGGTGATGACGACTGATGAATGTCTTTTTCTTCTTCCTCCTACAAAGCAGCTCAGCAGTGTTTATGGCCCTGGACAGCCAGGATGCCTTTACTGGCTTTGGGGCTTTCCTTCTTAGCCAGTGACCTTAGGCAAGTCCCTTAAAATCTCTCAGAGCCCCCATTTCCCTGACTGTGAAACAGGGATAGAGCTGTTCTCTGGGCTGGTTGTGAGGATTAAATGAGAGAACGTGTAAAATGTGCCTGCAACATTGTAGGTGCCGCATAATTGGCAAGGTGGATTAGTCAGACTTCCAGGGAGCCTTGGGCCTCATCCCTCTCCTATTTGGCACCCTCTTTCCTAGAGATGAACCTTCCAACCCTAAAACTCCCCACCTCCTGCCTCCTATTGTAAGCCGAGTCAGGGAGGGGGCCACACAGTGACCTGGAAGGATCCTAGGAAAGGAGGCTGCTGTTAGAAGACAGAAAAGGCTGCATAATGAGGGTAATCAAGCCGCACTGCCAGGCTAAGGCTCCCGCCAAGGGGACCTTCAGCTCGGGCTCTGCCCCTCTCTCTCCCTCTTTGTGCTGCCTTCTCACCCTGCACCCTTTCTAAACACATCTTTCTGCTTCTGCTTCTATCAACTCCTGGTTCCTGCTTCTTAAAACTTACAGCCTGTGTCATGACTGCTCCGACACCCTCACAGGGCCACAGCTACTTGGCTTGGGGCCCAGTGGCATCTGCCATGTATTCCAATACTTGTCTTAGGGGAAAAAGGGGACACCACACGGTGCTGCCTGGACTTGTCAAAGGCTGTTGGCTAGTTATGGACAGGTCGTCCTGGGGTCAGGTATCCATACCAGGTCCAATTGGCTGTGGTCATGGGGACAGGGTGCATGCTGTGAAGAAGGCCACAGATGTATTTGTCTGTCTAATAAAATAAACATTCAATAAATACTGTTATAAATAAGAATATTTTAAACTTGTGGAAATTCATTTGAAATTCCTTAGTGAAGGAACCCGCCCTGGTGAACTGTTTCATGTGGTGAATGATCCCCTTTGCCTGCACACACCTTCATGCCAGTCATCTGTTTCATACACCCGGAGTTTGATGGGCTGCGTCTGTGTGAAGCGTGGTGTACTCCTATGCTTGTCACAACAAATACTGCTCCAGGAAGCAGGCTCGGGGCTCGCCCCTTCCCCGAATGATCTATGATGTTACAAAAAGATAAATCCATGATGTGGAACCCCCCCCCCCACGCTCTGCATCTTCCCTCCCACTCACCCCTGGGCTCCACACTCTCCCTCTCCCCTCTCCTTCCGTCCTTCCCTCATCCCCAATTATGAAGTCCTGCTCCAGCAAGGAGAGCAAAAGCTTGAATTGTCAGCCAGTCACCTCTGAGAGGAAACAGCAGGACCAGCATACAGTAAAGGCTTTGCTCCCTGTGTTCCCTCTGTGACTGCCGGGAGAAACAAGATGGGGCAGAAAAGGCGCCAGGTTCCTCCACTGCCAGGCTGTGGCCCGGAGTTGCCCCAATACCTGCTTACTCTCTAGGGTGGAGGAAGATGTGAGGTACCTGCCAGGTACCGGTGGGAAAGGCCCGCCCACGCAGCCCCTCTGAGTGATTGAGAAACAGGTGTCTCCTCCTCCACGCATTTTACTTCCACCATCAGGAAGTGGTCACTGCGGATACGCCTGTGATACAACGGGCCCTCCTCTGTGGGTACCATTTTGTAGGGCACAACCTGTGCAGTTGTTCATGGCAGCCCTAAAGGTGTATTCCAGGTCGATCCTCTGCCCCATGAGTGGGAAACTGAGTCTTGCTAACCATTAGCTATCCCTCCAAACCTTCCCCCAGGCACATGCCCTGTGGGGACACCACCACTGTCCTGTGTACCCAGGCTCAGCCCTTTAGAGTCGGCCCTCTCTCCCTGGCTTCAGAGTGAGGTGGATCTGGGTTCACATCGAAATTCTAGCACTTCCTAGACCTGTGACTTTGGCTAGGTCACGCTGCCTCCTTGGCCGCAGTTCCCTGATCTGTGACATGACAGTGATGCCAGCTCTCACATGGGGCTTCAATGAGGATGAGATGGGGAAACATGTAATGCACCAAGACAGGGGCCAGTGCCTGCTGAGCTCCCAACATCAGCACCCCCCCCCAAATATTTTCCCACTTATAGTCCAAACTCTGCCCAGGGAGCACCAACATTTGGCTAGTCTGGGTTCTCTCTCTAGCCCCGTCACCACAGATGGAATTGGATTAGACAAGAGAAGGGGTGTGAGGGTAACACAAATGATATCTGAAACACTTGCAGGAGTCCTGCACTGGCTTCTTCCTGAGGGGGAGGGTTATTTCACAAACTGAAATCCTTATCCCTGGATTTCTTTATTCACACATCTGGCTTGTTATTTATTCCAGGGGTTACTAAGCGGCACACCTGTGCATTAGAAGGACACAGGTCAGCTGGTTGCTTCCAACCAAGCCATCGCCCCCTGGCCGTGGGCGGCTCTGCTCATCTCCATCCTGGCTCACCAGGGAGGCTGACGGCTCTCTCCACCGTGGGTTTCATTTTATCAAATGATTGCCCAGCATACTGAGTATTTACTAGGTGTCAGGCACTGTGCTAATTCATTTCATTATCTTATTTATTCCTCCCAATTTGTTCAGAATTAACGTTACTATGATCACCCGGACTGTTTTCAATCCTTGACATTCGCAGTGTTACAAACCTTTCTTCCTCTTATCAATGCAATATAACACAAAGATACACAGAGGGTGTACTTGTTCTTTGCCCTTCTAATTCCATTTCACATAGAAATTCAAAGAACAATTTCAGACTTCTTTCTGGTACATCCCTAGAAACCAGACTCTGTGGATGAAGTTCAAAAACCACCAGTGCTGAGGAATGCGGCTCACATCCCCGGGGCCCTGGCTTTCCCTGGGAGCCCCCGTTGGAATTCCAATGGCCCCGATCCCTCTGCACCTCCTTGTGCTTCTTCCTGGAAAGGGGATGAGAGTTTCACAGCTGAGGCAGACTTCCAGGTGTGTGGTGAGGTGCTATTAATTGCCCTTACCTTCCCCCCAACGCTCACACCAGCGGCTCTCCAGCTGCTGTTCCCAGAGGCCCCAGCAGGTGTCACTGTGACCCTGACCATCCTCATAGGCCCCTCTCCTGGGCCTGTGTAGACAACACCTTTGAGGCTGGGGGGCTCCTGGAGGTGGGACCTCACCTCTAAGGAGCCCCACGGGGAGGGTCCTGGCCCAGAGAGAAGAGTCCTATCTCTGCTTCACACTCTCCCAGGACCACTTTAGGGAGGGGCTGTGGTTCAGGGAAGGTTCAAACTCACGGTCAAGGGGCTAGGCAGGGGTTGCAGAGGGTGGAGAGCGAAGAAGGAGGGGGTGGGGGAGACCTCCAACCCAGCCAGGTCTCTTCTTCCATTGCATTAGGAGAGTGTCCCCTAACTCTCCCTCCACCTACCTCACCACCAGCCCTGAGTCTTGGGGACAAATCTTGGTGACCACTGAAGGCTACTCAGGGTCAGGAATCCCTACTCTGATGAGGAACCAGAAGACACAAAAGGAGCTGTAAGTCAGGGAGGCTTCCTGGAGGAGGTGAGTGTGGACCCAAGAGATGAACTCACGGCCTTGCCTCACATGAAGGACGAGGGAGATGAGGGGCCAACCCAGGGGGTTCAGTACCGTCTAGGGGAGAAATGCTGACAGGTGAGTTCATCAACACCTTTGGGGGGTGCTTCTGGAGTCCGGGTGGGCTTCCAGCGACTCGCCCCTATAAGCCAGAGAAGCAGGAGCCACAGACTAAGGAGGCGGGGGGATCTTGGGAGGAGATGACAGGGGATATGAGGGAATAACAGGATGCCGAGGTGTGAAAGGGGAGAGAGAGACCTTTCTTCCAGGTGAAAATTGGGTCATCTGGATGGGGCCAAGGTGGGGAGGAGGCAGGGGGAGGATTGAACTGTGCCCAGCCTTAAGAACTGGGCCCAGCCCGCCAGCTGTGTTTGCTTCCTTGAGCCCTTGGACTTTCTTGGGATGAAGAGTCAGTGACAAGCCAGGGAGATGGGCTTTTCCACAAAAGGTGCTCAACGCCTCCTGTTGTGCAGCCATCAGACCTGGGAGGGCCTGGCAGAACTTCCCAGCTGCCCCCCCTGCACCTCCTGATGGCCCATCTCTCACCCCCTGACACATCCCTGTTGGCCCTCCCCCAGAGGCCCTCCAGCAATCAGAACCAGTCACCACCCCCTCCTGCCACTGCCCAGGATACCAGTCCTCCCACCCCACCCCCACATCATCCCCCACTCTGAGAGTTGGCAAATTTGCCCTTTTGGTTAGCACCTCATGCAGATTGGGCCCTTCGGGAAGCAAGTCTTGACACCTGGGGTGGGGCCTGGCCCCAGACGGGGACAGCAGAGACTTGAGGACTTCAGCAGGAACAAGATGCAAAGGAAGGGGCCGGCCCGGTGGCGCAGCAGTTAAGTTCTCACGTTCAGCTTTGGTGGCCCGGGGTTCATCAGTTTGCATCCCGGGTGCGGACGTGGCACCGGTTTGCATCCCGGGTGCGGACATGGCACGGCTTGTCAAGCCATGTTGTGGTAGGTATCCCACGTATAAGGTAGGGGAAGATGGGCACGGATGTTAGCTCAGGGCCAGTCTTCCTCAGCAAAAAGAGGAGTATTGGCAGCAGATGTTAGCTCAGGGCTGATCTTCCTCAAAAAAATTAATAAATAAATAAAGATGCAAAGGAAACCAGAGGAAAAGTAAGCTCCCCAATAGGAGCCCCTGACAGGCAGTTCCCAGTGGGCGATCTCCCCATACTCCTTCCTTCCTTCCGTCAGAAGTCCTGACTTCCAGGATGCCAGCTCATGTGGAAAACATCTCAATGCGCGCACACACACAGAGTAAGAGACTTCTTGGAAGATGTGATGATTTCTCCATTTTGGCCGGAACTGGCCTCCACTGCACCATTTCACATCTGCTCCCTCTTTCACCCCACGGGGCAGTCCTGTGGGACAGCATGGGAAGCGGAGCTGCCCACG